TGGCGCGGAGAAAGGGGGGTCCCCTGACTTCCCCTTCCTCTGTCGGCCCTGCTTCAGTAGTCCTCAGCCCCGCCGCCTCAGGTGGCCCTACAGGACGAGGAAGGAAACCCCAGAGAGCACCCCCAGGACTCCTCCCTCAAGCAGTTTCTGTCGTAGGAAGTGGCGCCAAAAGCTGAAAGAAAAAAAAAGAAAAAAAAAAAAAAAAAAAAGAAAGGGAAGCTAATTCAACAAAACCGTCTGTTGGGGAGGGGCGGCCAGTTGGTACCCCTGTAACGGAAACTGTTAGAACGACTTGGCACCCTCCCTAAAGGAAACAGATAATAAATCCTTCTCCGTTGGATTTCTTGTTTCTCAGGATTCCAAAGCCTTCTGTGGTTTCAGTTATCTGTCCTCTCAACGTAGCTTGGGTCTGGGTTAACCTCTGGCCACAACCCCGGCCGAGGGAGGGGTTTATCTCCTGCAACAGCCACTGATGTGGGTGGGAACAAAGAAAAGTAGCCCACATCAGTTTGGTGGGGCCCAGGAGCTGTATCATTTCAGGCCCTGGAACTTAAAACTGCCCCCTGGATATTTGTGTGTAAGGTGGATAAAAGTTTAAGGCACATTTTAGTGGTTGGTAAAGAGAAAAAGAGTTTACAAAGTCATCCTTCCATGTTTCTCAGTGTAGAAATAACGCGACTGTTGCCAGTCGTGTGAGTGAAAAGGCAACGCCTCTCTGGGCACACTTGGGACTTGTGAGTGGGGCGCAAGGTTGTGACTTGAATCTCTAGAGGCTCTGCAGCACTCTGTCTTTTAAAGACAAAACGGAGAAATGGCCTGTCCTTGCTTTGTGAACTCGCAGGGGGGAATGAATGCTCAAGGTTCTATCTGTCCACATCGAATTCCCTCAGAATCTACTTGTCAAAAAGGCAGGGGCCCTCTTGTGAGAGGTGAGAGTGTTTGCTGAAACACCCTTTGGAAGTAGAACTTTGTCTTAGCTCCTCAGTTGCACTTGGCTGCGATGTCTCCCTTCCTTCCCAGCTACCCAACCCCCTCCTCTTCTGCTCTGTTTCCCGTTTCATTTTTCTGGCTTCTACTCCGACAGGAAAATAAGGAAGCTGAATCTTGTGCTCTCAAAGCCCTGACAGTCAGGCTTTTTAGAATGGAAGGTGGCAGGATGGGATGGGAGCCGCCAGTGGGGCTCCAAGGCTGTGAGTGAAAGGTGAAGGAGGCAGCACTCTGCAGTTTGCCTTCACAGTCTGCAGTTAAAATGGAGCCTGCAGCAGCACAGCCAGCCTAGCCTCTAGAAAGAGAGAAGGCAAGAGAGACAGCCAGCCATGACCCAGGGCTCCAGAAAGACTACATCTCCCACCTTGCATTAAAAAGGAAATACTCATTGCATCAGGCAACAGTTTCACAATACAGATTCCTAAACTAATCAATGCAAGCAATGTGCCACGATTTCTACAATCCTAAAATTCAAGAGAATGACATCATTTTTGTTCTTTGAACTTGTCTGCCTCTGCATTTTTTGCTGGAAACATTATTACATCAGACCACCCTTTGGCTTCAGGGACAAATTATATCTATCCACATCTGCCACCCTGTTCTGTCACTTGCCTGTTTTAGCACAGTCTACTTTATCTTGTCTGTGTCATTTCAGTACCTGTTTTCCTCTTTTGGAATATTAACTTCTGAAATACAACGAAGACAGGGCAATCTTTCACCCAAGTATTAGAACACTTGGAAAGGCAGCTTGGGCAGGGAATGTAAGTCAGTGACAGAGCTCTTGTCCTAGACTCAATCCCTAAGGATACAAAAACAGCAGCAAAACCCCACAGTGCCTTGCATGTTTTATGCTTGGTGAACAAATTGATTTAACTTGATGCCATTTTTTTTTTTTTTTTTTTTTTTGTGTGTGTGTTTTAAGACAGGGGTTCTCTGTGTAGCTTTGGAGCGTATCCTGGGACTCGCTGTGGAGACCAACCAGACTGGCCTCCAACTCACAGAGATCCGCCTGCCTCTGCCTCCCGAGTGTTGGGATTAAAGGCGCGCGCCACCAACACCCGGCTTGATGCCATATTTTTATACATGAGGAAATCAAGGCTCACTAAAGGAAGTGCCCAAGGTTACATGTATCTTGAATTCAGGTCCCAGTTTTCCAAGTTGGCTCTGATAATATATTATTGAGCATCTGGGCAGTGGTGGCACACAGAGAAACCCTGTCTTGAAAAAAAAGTATCATTCCTACTTCAGCCTCCTGGGGGCTGAGATTACTTATATGTGTGAGGCTCCATGCCCAGCTACTTCATGTAGTAGTTGTTCCCAAGTTTAAACATTTTATCTCTTCCTGGCTAGGAGTCTTCAGGAGCTGCACTTAGTACCCTGGATAAGGCACATCAAGTCCTAATCATACCTACCTTCTCTCTTCCAATGGGACCATGCCATGCCACAGGCAATGAGGAAGTACCACCGAGGAAGATAGCTTCATAAACAACTTGCCCTCAAGTCATTTATGAGTGATTAGCATAAAGTACTCTTTGAGAGGCTGTTCTAACCACATGTCCAAAGAACAGTTTTCCCACCAAATATGAAGACACCAGGCTCCCTTCCCTGAAGCATTCTGACAATTTATCCCTCCTCATAGCTTCCTTGCCTTGTTCCTACCTCCACACCTGGCATGAACTGGGCCCCAGGTTGGGCTGAGAGACTGTCCAGTGTATATATCTGTTGTCTGTCCTTGTGTTTCCAGGCATTAAAATTTCCAGAGCCAGGCGTTGGTGGCACGTGCCTTTTACCCCAGCACTTGGGAGGCAGAGGTAGGTGGATCTCTGTGAGTTCGAGGCCAGCCTGGTCTACAGAGCTAGTTCCAGAACAGTCAGGACTGTTTCACAGAGAAACCTTGTCTCAAAAAACCAAAAAGAAACAACACCCCTCCTCCAAAAAAGTAGCGAACCCTGACCTGGGACACTGGATCTGATGCCACACAGAGATGAAAGTGACCATATTGCCCCGATGCCTTCCTAGCTACTGTCAGTGGTCAAGGTTAGTGCTCATGATGAACAGCTAGACCTTTCCAGAACTTTTGATACTTTTCACTGTACTTAAAACAATCAAAAATCGTTCACTGACAGTTTCCAAGGATGCTGGGTGTATTTACAGCCATCTTGACATCTGAAATGACACCATTAGGTCTTGGACAGTTACCAAAAGTTTCCTGTTTGACCTCTGCCGTGTCTCACCCACCCCAGGTTACTAAGACCCTTCCCTGTTTCCAGCTGCAGGTGCCAATGCTGATCCTTCAAAGCCCATGGACACTTTACAAAGCACCTCCTTCAGTGTTTGCCTTTCAATAGTTAGAAGCCTTGATTCCACTGAGAGGCCTGGTGGGAAGGCCTTAGCCCCTTGGGGGTGGCAGTGGCTGCCAAGCAAAAGAGCCAATCAGCTTCAGAGTATTGTTTAGGCTGGACTTGGCTGCTGTCCAGCTCTGAAAGAAGGTTAAGGTCATTTGGGGGTGGGTGGGAGGGAGGAGCCTGGGAAAAGAACTACTGGCCACACCCAGGGTTCTCTACTGGCCAGGTTCTATTTACTTCTCAAAGGCCAATTACTCACAGCTCAATGGTCAGCAGTTCTCTTGGCCAGTGGTAACTACAGTCAGAAACTGGAGACTAGACTAGGCTGCTCCAAAATTGCAGGCGAGCAGATTAAAGAAACCCAGGAAACAGAACTCCTAGGTAATGCACCATACACAGCCCAGAAATGCACTTTCTAGATTGGAAAGTAAGAGTTCAAGGCCTATAGCAAAAGTATCGATTAGCAGTTATTAAGTAAAATAGATATGAAAAGCACCCCCCCCTTTTTTTGTTGGTCTTTTGAGACAGGGTTTCTTTGTGTAACAGCCCAGGCTGTCTTGGAACTCAATTTGTAGACTAGGCTGGCCTTGAACTCACAGATACCCACCTGCCTTTCTGCCTCCCAAGTGCTGGGATTAAAGGCGTGCACCACCACTGCCCAGCTCCCCCTTTTGTTCTTGTCAGAAACCATCTTGGTTGACAAAGGTTCCCCCCCCCCCCCCCGGAGACAGGGTTTCTCTGTATTGGAATCTGTCCTGGAACTCCCTCTGTAGACCAGGGTGGCCTTGAACTCAGAGATCTGCCTGCCTCTGTCTCCTGATTGTTGGGATTGAAGGCGTGCACATGTGGCTGACAAAGGTTTTACTAGTTTGCCATTCTTGTCCCTGACTCAAATATTAACAGCTATACCAAGTTTGATGAATGCTTGACTAAAATTCTTGACACTTTTGCCTCCTGTCAAATCCAATAGAAACCACTCTCCCTGAAGCCTGCTGTGGATGAAGTGTGGTGTGGAACTGGGGAGAACTTGAGCCTTGGTCAGGTGGGCCTTGTGTTGCATTGTTGCATATGAAAGGGAGCCATTGCACTTACCTCAGACATCAGACAAGGTTGTTGTAGGATTATTTGCAACATATTTAGTTCAGCAGAGAAGGCAACAGAAAATCATCTCAGGTTTCACTTAAGTGTTTACAATCATATTTTGTCAGTATCTCTTATTTCTGAACTTTGATGATTTTCTCTTTTCTAAGGGAAGGAATGATGAATAGAGAGGAGATATCACAATAATGACCTAAAAGCAACTGCATCTGCCACTCTGATGCCACTTGAGTAGATACTAGGTAGATACCACGTGCCAGGATGCATGTAGAAAGGGAGGAAGCAGTTAACATCACAAACTGTTTATATTCCATGGATAAAAACACAGTGGGCCAGACAGATCAGATGCTAACAAGACCTGAAAGAAAGAAAAGCAAGACAGAAAGGACCCAAGTCAGTGAGCGGAGATTGGCTTTATTTATTCATTTTAACTGACATTTGTTTTCTAAGATAGGATTTCTCTGTGTAGCTTTGGAATCTATCCTGGAACTTGCTCTGTAGACCAGGCTGGCCTCGAACTCAGAGATCCCTCTGACTCTGCTAGGATTAAAGGTGTTCACCACCACTGCC